TACTGTTCTCCTTCATGCAGCAGTCAATTTCTTTTATTCTGCCTTCAAAATTGCACCTGTTTCTTCAAGGAGTTTATAGCCATGCAGAGCCTGAGGTGTGATGTACCTAGAGATGAACACTAATCAGAAAGGGGAAAGCTGTAAGCTATAAGAAGTAGGTCTTTGTGTTCTGGATAATAGGGATAAAAAGTCAAAGGATTGAAGTCAGACACTGCTGAGTAGTTGGTATCTGGGGGTTTGGATCCTATTCAGAGTAGCCTTGGGTGACAAAAGGGATAGAAAGTCTTTCCAGTTTCTGACTGGTATCAGTCCAGCTTGGAAGATGACACCTATGCAATATTCATTCTATCATTCACTGCTCTGGTTCAACCTCCTATTTTCTGGCTTACATAGCAAATTTGCCAAATGCTTCCCAGGCTAGCAGGTAGGAAGTGGGGATTATTGTCAATCTGTAAGAGTGCTGTAAATGACAGCTTTTTTTCTTTTTTCCTTTCCCAGAGAGAAAACACGAGTTAATAAAACCTATCCTTGCAGCTAGCTAAGTACAGTGAGAGCCATGACCATGCTGTAATCTCTGATGAGTTTTGTTGCAATTTAGCGAAGCATTTAAGTGCTTGTCTGCAAGTTTGTTTGATTTAGTCATACTCTGGAGAAATGTCTATTGAAAGAAGCTACTCTGTATATCAGGGCCTTGGGAAATAGCTATGAGGTAAATCAAGGTGCTGTGCTGTACACATATGGTTCCTGTTGCAAAACATGGCAGGAGGAAATTTTGCTTCTCTGGAACATATGAGAGCCCAGGAAGATATCAGGAAAATGTTAAAGTAGAAGTTGTTTTGGAGAAATGACATAAAGCAGCTCTGAAAGGCTGGTGAGCCCAGCAGCAGCCTTGCCAGCAGTATCTGCCAGAGAGGTGAATTGGGGCAGGCATGAGAACTCATGTATTTGCAGAGGTCTGCTTGCTGAGGTGTCAGTGAACATGCCTGGTAGACACACAGAACATACACAGGTTCACAGAACACAGCTGCCTAGGCTGTGCATACTCTCTACAGTTTTCTTTCTGTTTTGTAAATACCAGAAACTTTTGACAGGCTCTGTTTGAGGGTCTGTGGGGGGCACCATGTCCTTGGTCAGATGTATGCCGTATGACTGGGTTGGTGTCTGTCACTCCCTAAAGAGGGAAGATGATGTCTGGCTCATTAGTAAAGGTTAGGACAAACATAGCTCTCTTTTCACAAGGCAAAAGCCTGGGGCATTTGTTATCCCTGCCCCAATCTGGACTGCTGCTTTTATGTGTTCTGCTCTTTGGCTGCAATGACCCCTAGAGATGTGCTTAGCAGTGAAATCTCATAAAAACCTGCACAGGGCAGGTGTTAATTTTCAGAGGTTTTGACCCAATCTTGTTGGCATTTGGGCCAGGGAGCAACAAATGTGTTTCCTCAAGCCAGGTTTTTGCTTTTTCTGAAACACATTGAGCTAGATGAGGAAAAAAATATTACTTCTGAAAAACTGGGGAGGCGGCTGAAGGAAGTATGCAGCCTCTTCACATTGTATTTGGAGTAATTTTCTGGCTCAAAATGTAAGAGAATATTTTATTCATAGCAGGAAGAAAAGAACAAGTCAAAGAATAAGACAGGGGCTTTGGCCAAATCATATAAGAAATGCTTGGTGACTGCAGGAACCAATATCAGCATTGGTTTGTGTACAAAAGTGGAGTTGTCTCTAGTTCTGCTGAACAGGCGGGAGAAATATTAACTCTTTCTTTTGCTTTCTTTCTGCAGAGTGGTCTTGAAATCTCTTGATCACTCTCACCTGAAAATTAGCAAGTGCCTCCAAATTGCCAGAAACGCCCATCTGTTCACCTTTGGCTGTCTGCCTTTGGTTCAGAGCACCTATACACTTCAGAGAAGATATGTTTTTAGAAATAGTGAAAACTCCAGACTTGGAAATACTTAATCATATCTCTCTGAATGGCACAGTGAAGCTCAAGTTAGTGGTGAGGACCTCTCTTTGCTAGCTCAGTGTCAGTAGGATGAGGCATGAGTATTGTTTGTGTTCATATCTGTTGTATTGCTCTGAGAAACTTACTTTCTTGGAACATTGTGACCAAGGGTAGCTACCTGTGTAGCATCAACATGAAGTGAATTGTACCATAATGTTTGACCTGCTTGTGTATGGTTTGGTAAAGTCAGATTTCCAGAGAGCTGAATATTAAGGATCTTCAAATAAGACTTCCAGATTCAAAAAGGAGCCAGTGGATGACAGAATGCAGAGTGGGATATGCTCATGGTATTGCTCATGCGAATTCAGCTGTGGCATATGCACAAGACTAATTTCAACTCTTCAGTTTCCAAGTTATTTTTGGTTTGGGTCAGCATTAAGGCTATCTAAATGTTACTGTTTTTGTTGAGCGTCATGTCATAGCTATTATAGTATGTGATTTTCAGGCTTGTTCATACTTGATGTGCTACTTTTTGCTAATCATGTGCATCAACAGTTCTTCTACACGTTAACATATTTTGAGGCTGTGTAGGAGTTATGTGCCAGAGGGAGTAAATCTAGCTATGTATATAAGGTGAATTACAAATGCAGATTATATGTGTGAGAATCAGGGACATTACATACCAAAATACTTCACTTGAGTTAAGTGACCTTTTTGAAGAACTCCATTAGCTTGGTAATACCAGAGGTTTATCCATTGTATACATCAGCTCATGGGGGGCTAAAATAAGACATTCTTATCCAACTGATATATGTACTTTCTCTCAAAAAAAAAAAAAAAAAATCCATCCCAGCTGTCTGATACTCACCCAGCCTTAAGTCAGGTTTCAGACCCTTTTCTCTGCAGGCTTGTATCAAAACCAGAAATGTTACCTTTGATGTCAAACCTACTGGGCACCTTTCCTGTGAATTGAAAGAGGAATGGTGTTAGTGGACAGCAGTCCAAGACAGTGATCTTGAAGCAGAAAAGTTGCTTAACATTAATTTTCTGTTTTGCACTTAAAAATTGAGCATGTTTATGTTTAGGTGTGTGACTGGGAAAGCATTCAGGTGTCTGTGAGGCTCAGGGACTTTGGGTAGCTATTCTGGCAAATTTTCACAGATTGGCCTATATGATGAAATCTTAAAGTCCCCATTAAAGTCATTGACCAAAAGTTTTCATTGAGTGTCAGGAATTAGACTGAACCTCAAGTTTCAAGATCTTTTGGCTTTTGCTAACTGGAAGTAAAGTTCAGGTTTATTACCACCCGAGGAGCTAGCATGTACCTAAGTCTATTGGAACCAGTGAGATGTATCCCAGAGTCCTGAGGGAATTGGCTGATGTAGTTGTCAAGCCACGCTCTGTGGTATTTGTAAAGTCATTGTAATCATGATTTCACCATTGTATTGGTGAAGTCCCAGTGACTGGAAAAGGGAAAACATTGTACCCATCTTTTAAAAGGGTGGAAAGGAAAACCCTGGCAACCAGGGACTTCCCAACCTCACCACCTGCCTGGGAATATCATGGAGCAGATCCTCCTAGAAGCTGTGCTCTGGCACATGGAGAACAGAGAGATGATTCGAGACAGCCAGCACAGCTTCACCAAGGACAAGTCCTTCCTGACCAACCAAATGGCCCTGAATGGTGGAGTGACCGTGTTAGTGGACAAGGGAAGGGCTATCAATGTCATTTATCTGAACTTCTGTAAAGCCTCAGACAGAGTTCCTCACAATATGCCTGTCTCTTAATTGCAGAGAGATGAATTTTATGCATGGACTGTTAGATGGATAAGAAAGTGGTTGGATGGTCACATCCAGAAGGTAGTGGTCAATGGCACAGTGTCCTGATAGACATCAGTGACAAGTGGTGTCCCTCAGGGGTTCATACAGGGATCAGTACTATTTAATGTCTCCATTAATGACATGGATGAAGGCACTCTCAGGAAATCTGCAGGTGACACCCAGCTGAAGGATGAGATGGCATCCAGAGTGACCTGGACACCTGAAGACCAAGTTTAACAAGACCAGGTTCAGGGTGCTGCACCTGGGTCAGAGCAACCCATGTATCAGCACAGGCTGGGATGAGCAGATGGAGAGAAGCCCTGTGAGAAGGACTTGGGGTTGCTGGTGGGTGAGAGGCTGGACATGACCCAGCCATGGGTACTCCCAGCCCAGAGAGCCAAACGTGTCCTGGGCTGCATCCAGAGCAGCGTGGGCAGCAGGGCAGGGAGGGGATTCTGCCCCTCTGCTCTGCTCTGCTCTGGGGAGAGCCCACCTGGAACCTGCATCCAGCTCTGGGCTCCCAGCACAGGGAGGACATGGAACTGTTGGAGTGAGTCTATAATAGGGACACCAAAGTGATTATGTGGATGGACCACATTTCCTGTGAAGACTGGTTGAGAGAACTGGGTTTTTTCAGCCTGGAAAAGAGAAGGTGTAAAGGTGACCTAATTATGGCCTTCCAGTCCCTGAAGGCAGCCTACAAGTTGTTTTTACAAGTGCATATAAGGAAAGGACAAGGGGCAGTGGTTGCAAACTGAAAGAGAATAGCTTTAGACTATATGTTAGGAAGAAATTCTTTACTGTGAGGAGCACTGGAACAGGTTGCCCACAGAAACTGTAGATACCTGTCCCTGGAAGCATTCAAGGACAGGCTGGATGGGGCTCTGAGCAACCTGGCCTAGTGAAAGGTGTTTCTGCCCATTGAAGGAGTTGCCATGGGTGGAACTTTAGGTCCCTTCCGTGGCTATTTCATGATTCTGTGTTCTTAAAAAGGCGCAAACTACAAACCCCCAAAAATTGCTCGAGAAAATGACTGTAATCTTAAAATACGCATTCAGTATTTTTTTCTTAGGTGGAATTTCTGCTGAAGATTCTCACATTATCATTAGCAGATACAGGATTTTCTTGATCAGAGACTGCTTGCTTGCTGATAGTATCTGGGTGTCTTTACTCAGGATATTAACGTATGTGTAGGAGGGGTCAGACAATAATTCCATCTTATTTCTCTCCCTTTGCAGGCCCTCTACAATTCAATCAAGAATGAAAAGTTGGAATGGGCAGTGTAAGTATGCTTCTGTTGTAGAAATTAGAAGTTTAACAGTCGTACCTGCGTAGTTATCTGTTTATACATCCTATGTCACCATCTGTGTGGGCTCCAAAACCTGCAGAAGATAGCCAGTGTACATAATGAGGTTGCTTTTTTGCTAATGAATGACCTGGCAATATACAGCCTCATCTGTTTCTCCAGCAAGGGGAATTGTTAATGATAGGAGCCAACTCCATTTGTAAGGAAAGAGGACATTTCATTTAGTAGGAAACTTCAGCCTGAAAAGAGAGAAATTAAATCCTCTGTTGTTCTATGTCTGCATAAATAAAACAGAAGTTGACGTCTCCCTTTATCTTTCTGTTCATTGTGTCAGAGCCACTGAATAGAAACACACTTCTTGGATTGAGTTTCCTGCTGTTGGTTTATTGTCTTGGTTTGTATCCTGATTAAGTATGGATAACTTGACAACAACCTAATGTGAAAGATGATAAATGGACAAAGTCTGATATCACTCCCTCCAATCCTTAGTTGATTTTGACAGGATAACACTTGTTAACTATGTAAATGCCACAGATGACAAAAAACTTAAGTTTCAGATTTCTGATTAAAATTACATTTCCCTGTGCTTAGGCTTTGTGTAGTGTAATTATGACAGGCAAGGGCAGAAGTGTCTACTTTAGATTTTGTCACTTGCAGAGCAGTGGATTTTGGTATAAAATAGGAAAATGATGTCTTACATATATTTTGGCTATACAAGGGTATTTCCCTGTGCATATTTACATATGTGAAACTTCACCTTCTTGGGAACAAGGTATGTCTGGAATGCATGCTCCTGCACCTCTTATGCTAGAATTTCTAGCAAGTGCTATAGGTCTTGCAGGCCCAGTGGCTTTTTTGATCTTCGTTGTTTTAAGTTCATGATCTGCAAACCAATTTCTTGTTAGGATGCCTCACAAGAGCACTGGTTCCAAGTGGGATTGCTGTCCCAGTTCAGAAATGTGCTAGGTGGTGTCAGAGTAATAAAGAAGGTGTGCTTTTAATGGGAATCAGCAAGAAGTACCATCTCTGATGAGCATTAAAAGTCATGGTGGGAGACATTTTCACAGACTGTGTCTTGGACCTGGAACATGCTGTGTGAATCTTATATGTCACACCAAAGCTATTTGCCAGACACTGTCACAGGTACTTTAGAACCAGCAGAATCCATTATGTGACTTTCTCAATGTCAGAATTTTCCTCTAGCTCTTGCCAAGAAACTATACCGTGCCTAATACACTTGGGCAGCCTCCAGGTGGCAACTGGCTCATGACTGGCTCTGCTCCTGTGAACCTCAGTCAAGGTGATTTATGAGATCTTGCTGCTGTATAGGTGGTAACTGCTTTGGCATTTACATAGTCTAGTCCATGTCCTTGGTTTGGGGGAAAATTCTAAACAGGCTGGAAAAGTGGTAATTCAGACTCTTTCTTAAATAAGGCTTTGGGTGGATGTAAAGCTGCTTTTTTACAGGAGAATGCTCAAAGGTGCCAGTTGTTGGCTCCAATCTGAGACTGACACATAGCTAGGACTGATGTTACAATTAATTTCCGTGATGAAAAACAAAGCTCATTCTGGGCATAGTCAGTACCTTTAGAGCTGAGAGTACTGGCTGGAGAAGGAAGTGTGAAGATGTTTCTCTTCATTTTTATAGACATGTGTGGTTGGTGTAACGTAATAACCCCAAGAAGCCCTGGGGCTGCCTGAGTTTGAGGGAGGAGGCACATATATATCTCTTGCTCTGGTGTTGTGATCTGCAGAGAAAGCTGAATGGGAAGGAAGCATGGTCAGTTTTGTTCCTGTCTCCCTTCCAAAGATGATTCTTTTGCTTCCCTGATGCAGTTGGCAGGGTAAGAAGAGGGAGGTAAGGCAAAGATGAAGATAGGACTCCAAACCTCCGTATAAGCTCTCCTGCAATGCTGACATTTTGAAGGAATGCCTTTCCGCCAGCCAGAAATCCTTTGAGGATCTAAGGCACTCATCAACTAACCAAAGGTTTAAGAGCTGCTCTGGAAGTACATTATTTAGTGGGTTAATGGCTATCAGTAAGTCCATAGACAGGAAAGGGTAATGGTGAAACATAAGATGGGGAAGGACTGCTATCCAATCCTTATCTTAATAGTTGTGAGCTAGGTGTGTTATCATCTTAAAGAGTTTGCACATCTTAAAGAGTACATTTCCAGTAGAATTATAGTCTGATCCAAAGCCCACACAAAGAAAGGGCTACTATTGACTTCAGTTTTGTAATCATGAGAAGTGACACCTTAATCAGCAGATATTCTCCAGAGACTTTCAGTAGGAGTGTTCATTTATCCTTTTTGAACAGGAAAGCATGAGTACAGCTCTGAAGAGAGAATTGCATTATAGTTCTTGTTCTGCAGTAGTGCCTGGTTCAAGTTCTCCACAAAGTTAAAAGTGAACAATCTGTAAAATGAAGAGATCTGACCTGGAATTTATACTGAACTGGTGAATGTGGGATCCTGAGAGCACATTTCTGCTGCACACTGCAAGCCTCAAAGGTGTGAACTGTTCTTCATGTCTGTTGCGGATGGCCTTAAATTTGAAACATTGGAAATTTGAAATCAACCTTTAAAAAGGTTTTTTATGGATTTAAACCAATGCTTAGGTTTGCCTGGATAAAGTACAGAAGTGCTTTCAGTGGAGGTTTTTGTGAACTGGTTGTTCTGCCCGGAATGGGTTAGGAAGATCCAGCCACAGAGGCAAAGAGATAGGTTGCCTGGCCTCCTAACATCCCTTCGTTGTCTATAATACTATATCCTCCCAAGGTTTTTAGGTGTTTCTCATTCTTTTACTTTCACACTGATCATTGTCAGCTTTAAGCTGAAAAAGAAAAATCCATTTGATTACAAAGTTGCCAGAGCTAAATATGTTTTATTTGCCTGATGTCTGCTTGGAAATGTCATGGTGGCCATTACTGTTTTCCTTTTTTGCAATACTGTGTCTGTTTACTGTTGAAAGTAATCGGAGGAAAAAAATCATCATCTTAAAGCAGGTGATCTAGAATTAATTTATGAACTCCCAAAGCCCTGCTTACAAAATTGCTAAAGCCAAATGGCTTCATTTGAGTCAGTTGTGTCCCAAAACCCTTCTCTCAGCAGAACAGTGTAGTTTTTTTTCAGGAGAATCATTTGGTTTTTAACTAGCCAATGATATACTTCTCTAACCAGAGGTGTTTACAGGGACATGGTATATTCTTTTTTTTTGTTTATCCGAACTACACTGATAAATTATCTCCTTTCAGCCAAACCAAAACAGGTCATTCAGTTAGTGATGGTGGGAAAGAGATGCTGCCAAATCAAACTGTGATGCTGAGATCAGGGTAGTTATAAAGACATCTGTGCTGAAGCTCACCTTTTTCTAGGTCAAACTGAGAAATCTCTCCCTGTTATAATTAACTTTTGTCTCCCAAGTTCTAGGATGCTTCTGGTTTGCAACTTCTTGATTGGTTTTAGAGTGGGGGTCACATGGTATTCAACCTGGTTCTCTTCCTTCCCTCCCACTGGGAAAGATGCCAAAACTTCTCTCAAGTCAATTTCCTAATACAGATGCTGCTAGTTTCATGGATGCATATTACAAACCTGAATTTTTTTTTTCAATTGCAATGTTTAAATAGATTAACTCAACTTTCTGCTGTGTCATATAAGGTTGCTATTTGAACAAATGCAGAAGAGATGAAGCAGAGTTTTAAAAATGAAGGGCTTGACTACATGGTTCCAGATCAGTGATTTCAGAATTTTCCAAGGCAGAGCCTCAAATTGGACCATAGATTGTAAAGAAATAATTTTATTACTGAGAGAATCAGATGATGCTTTTCTCCCAGAAGACAGAAATGGGACTTTCCTGTATAGGGTCTTCTTGGGAGAGGCAGGAAATGCTTTTCTTCACCAAAATGGCAACATCTGGATTTTTTTATTTCCACATCTATGTGTTTAAGGGGCAAACTCGTTCTAGTTGTCAGTTATCATATATTTGGGAAGGAAAACATTGCTGTTTCAATGCTGTGACTGCAAGTTGATAGCACAAGCAGGTCCTGGGTTTGCTGTGCTGGTTCTCATGGGCAGCCAGAGGGTGGTTACTGCTCTCTCTTTAGCTCCTTTTCCAAAGAGACAGGCTTACAGAAGTGAACTGAAGCTTCTTGTTTTGGGAAGCCTTGCAAACATCATGTGCCATAAGCAGAATCTTAGAGAAACTCTACAGATGGTAATCTTTTCCTGTCACCAGTACCCTGCAGAGAAGAGACACTGTAGGCCCCATTTCCTATGAATGGAAAGTGGGACTTAAGAGAAGTTTTGTAGCCATCAACCCTTTTCAGTCATCAAGGAGGAGTCACCAGAGGAATTGCTTCCAGACCCAAGAAGGGAATGATTTTCCTCTGCTGATCAGGGGCAGAAAAATCTCATAAGACTTCTGCAAGCCTAATTCAACCTTCATGATGATGTTTTGCCTACTGAAAGGTGTTTTGGAACCATTGTGGGTTTTTCCCCCCTGAATGCACAAGGGTTGTGTTACTTCCTGTATGAAATCTAAAACAGAGGCAGTGGTCCTGCCCTCCAAAAGGATCTGAGCTAATGCCTGTGTGACACCATGTCCATGACTCTGAACATACCTGCACAGAGATTGCCGCTGACTCTTACCCACATCACTGGAGGCCTTCATGCTGGGGACGTTGCAGCACCTGGATGATCTGTGAGAGCCATCTGAGGATGGGCAGGTAGTCACACTCCCCACAGTTTAGGGTTTCAAACAAAGATCAGTTTTCAGGTTTATGTATCCAGAGGCTTCCCTGAATTTTCTGCAATTCTTTCTTACAAAAGTACCCTAAAGGCTTGTTAGAAGTAAGCTCAGATTTTTAAATCCCTGATAAACAGTATTTGGGAACCTATCTATTCAGCCAGCTTTGGAAGATACCTGAGGGAAAATTAATACCTGAACTTTTTTTGCTACTTTGACATTCCTCTGAATCATCTTGCTTTCTTCTTATGTTTGACCACTGAAGTAACGTGGAGTATTTGGGCAAATGAGTCTCAGATCCTCTGGTTTTCATCCACTTCTTGCTTGTAATGAGTCCTTCCTGCCTCTTTGTCTCCCGTCATTGCCTCTTGCAGACTGATTTGTGCATCTTGCCCTCATGCATCTTGTCAGACCACTCAGCTCTCAGAAATGCCTGAAGTTTCTGAGTCTCAAAGAAGTCCCATTTTCATGATAGAACAAAAGACCAGTTCAAGGTTTGTTCAGTGCTGCCAGCAGTTGTGACATCTGATGCTATTTTGTCCTTTCCACCATGTCTTTTGAGGAATTCCGGTTTTAACAGAATTGCTGTAACTAGAAGTACTGAGTTTAAGAGCACTGCCCCCAGCTCTTAGTGGTGTCCAGGATCCCCCACAGGATTGCTCATCCACCACTGAGGCTGTTTGATTAAGGGTACTAGTATATTCCCACAGGACAATTGATCAGTATACAGTAATTCATTCCCATAACTCCAAAGGAGATAGCTTATTCCAGGAAAGTGTTAAGCCTTTTACTGCAGTTGATCTCTGCTGACAAGGAGAAATCTGCTGTGTCCTTGGCTGAAATCCCAGAATTCACAAGGCACTTCTGTGTGACAAATCAGCCTGTGTGCTTATGCCCTTTGAGAGATTTTCGTCTGGATTAAGTGCCTCAGACTCATGTTGAGAGAATTTGCTTCTGGAATGGACATATATCTAAGAAATACATAACACACAGTGGTTCCGACTTACCAGCAGTTAGCAAGTACACCCATGTAGGGTAGGGACAAGTGAAATTGTCAGAAATGCCTACACCTTTTCAACTGGGAGAGTGCTTCAACTAAAGCGTATTTGCTTTGACTAATAAAAAAATTTTGTACAACTTTCTGTGCTGGAGTGGGAAAGCACACATCAGTAGGCTAAAGATGCAAGGACTGCTCTTCCTTGCAGGAATCAGGTCTTGAAGTAAAAGTTTTGTTCTTCTTAATTAGGAGACCTTGCAAGACAACATCATGAAGGTATGGTGCACCTCCTGACTATATTTCTATAATTTATATGATGTGACCAAAGTCAAATGCTTGGGAATATGCCCTGCTACTACAGAGTTCACTAACACAGCCCTCATGTTTCTGGATTTGTTTTAGCCTTTTTTCTCCTTAAACTAAGTTATTTCCCAAAGACCATTTCATAGAATCATAGAATCATAGAATCATCATCTAGTTTGGAAAAGATTTCCAGGATCATTAAATGATGATCTATGACTGAACATCACCCTTTCAACTAGGTCATTGCACCAAGTGCCACATCAATTTGTTTCTTGAATGCTTGCAGGGATGGTCACTCCACCATCTCCTTGGGAAGTTTGCTCCAATGCTCAGCCACCTTTCAGTGATGAAATTTCTCCTGATGTTCAGCCGGCTAGTCCTCTCTTCATTCACTGGTTGCCTGGGAAAAAACGCCTACCCCCACCTGGCTACAACCTCCTTTCAGGCAGTTGTAGAAGGTGATAATGAGCCTCCTTCACCGCAGAGCTGAGGATAAGATAGATTTGTTGCTGTAGCCTGCAGTTCTTGGAAGACATTTTTTGAATGGTCATTCCCACAAGCAGCCGTGGTAGCAGTGTGTTCCTAAAGGAGCTTCTGGATTGATATGTGCCTTGCTAATTGTCACATAAGACATACTTTTGAATGTATGGATGTGTTTGGAAGATCTGCTTGAGCTTGCTCTCTCTCTGCCAGTCATCTGGGTCCACTGAGATGCATCAAGTTGAGGTCCACCCCCAGTGGGTTAGCAATATTAGCCATCATTATGCTCAAAAGATTCTTTTTTTAAATCACATGCTAGTCTCAGCAGGTGTTGCTACCGCGACTTTCCAATGACAACCTTCATACTCCCTGACACACCTTTCTTAGTCACCTTGAGAGGAATTTATGTGGATTTCAAAGGATGAAGGGCTACTGTGCAATCTGGCCTGTTCTCTGAAAACTGTTGTCCTACTGTTGTGATGGACACCCTTTACTTCTGGGTTGCCTAGTCCTTTTTAGCCTTTGGCTGTAACAAGCAAAAACGTATTTATTAGTCAGGTAATGTTTATGACTTGCATTGTTGTCCCCAAGAGCTCTGTGAAATACATTGCCCTAATAAGTAACATTTTCAGCAGCATTTTATTTCCAAAGTAAAGATGACATAATTCACCTAGTTTGGTTTTTATTTTTAAATTACTGATTTTATGCTAGTCAGCAGAGGAAAATAAAGAAAAATAGGTAGAGTCTGTGTTTCATAAGCTAAGTTAAGGGTGATCTGTAGTATTCTAATTCTTTTCATCTACATGTGAACTCATGAAGAAATTGGGGATTTTTCAGCTGAACCCAACAGGCAAATGTTTCCCATTTTAACACTCAAATACATGGAATTAAAAATAGCCAAAATTGGAGGACACAGAACACTTTTGAAGTCTAATCTTCTGAGACAATAATGGAAACTTGGCCTTTTTGAAAATCTGTGTCCTGTGCTGGTGAAGTAGGTGAACTGAAACTTTGCTATAATATGTCTATATTTTGATATATTTCTAGATTTCTCCCTAAGTATGGCCCCCTATAAAAGAGAGAGGTATATTTTGACAAGGAGTGTTCAAAAATTGCTGAAATGAAACTTTGCTGATCAGTCCATCCTTCATGCATGATTTTCACTGCTTTTTAAGGGATGAAGAAGAGAAAAAAAAATCTCACTCGGATGGTACAGATGAAAAGGATAATGGGAACCAGACAAAGGCTGTCAGTCGAATTGGCAATTCAAATAACCCATTCCTGGACATCCCTCATGACCCCAATGCTGCCGTGTATAAAACTGGATTTCTGGCTCGGAAAATCCATGCAGATATGGATGGAAAGAAAAGTAAGTAATTTTTCAATCCTAATGTGTTATTTTCTTGTTATGTCTTCACAATGCCACTTGCCAGTGAGCCCATGTACTTCTCAAGGCGAACATTGCTGCTTCATTAGGGGAAATAGCAGCCCTAACAGGCAACACAAAAACTGGATTATCACACTCTCACTGTTAGGCCAGAATTTACAATGCTCAGTGCCATTTGCAGCAGCTCTAATGCATAAGTAAGGTGATACAGCAAAGCCTTGTGAAGTTTTGGGCTGAAAGAAAATAAATATAATGGTTTACAGATAGAAAATAATTTCAAGTGAATTACAGTAGCTGTTCTGCAGTAATTTGAGAATTCTCCTTTTCCTTATGTGACACCAGATTGTTTTGGATCTCCCCTCCTCTCTGGGTCTGTCTTTAAAGAAAGACTGTTCTTTACCTCTGTTTAGAAGGTAGTGTTCCCTTCCAGACTTTCCCAGCCTTGGGTTACATATCCAATGAAGGGCGGCAGCTTTTCGCACCAGCCAGCTTTTTACTATGCAGTTCCTCCCTGCCCCTTTCTTGTACTAATCCTGCTGTCTCTTACTTACTTTAATATCTTCTTCCCTTCTTGTCCTGCTTCTGTTTGTGATGTACTAATTACCAAGGGCCTCTGATGCACCTGTGTGTGTTTTGTTGTTTGGATATCTTCATTTCTTGTCTATAGATCTTGGAAAAAGCTGAGGTTAGTCAGAGCATCTGTGTTTTCCCCATAACTGTTGATGATTGCCTATTCATGATTCACATTGGTGTGCTAAATCCCAAAGACAAAGTCTGGCTTCATGATGGGTTTCCAGTAACAGCCAGTTTCTCCTAGGCTAAGCTCTTTGGTGTTCACATGTTTTGCTAATCTATTTTAGAAGGTACAATTAGAGGTCATATTTTCAAGATGGAAGGTAACAGCGGGACAACTGGATTCAGACAGAGGTGTCAAAATCAAGCTTACCTAATTCTTTGTGGTGACTGGATGCTCTAAATAGGCTCGTCTTTATTAAACATCTTCTTATTCAGCCTTAATAAGTAATTGTATCTAGTTGCCTTTATTAAATTATTTATTTAATTATAAATACCAGAATTGTTTTTTATTTACCACATTGGCATTCTGGAGATAACTCTCTTATGAGTAATGTAATTAGGGCCATGTTTTCAGAAGTTCCTGTACAATTTAAAGGTCTGTCTTTCTGAAAAAAGTTGCATTCTGGCTTTTCAGGTGCGAATAAAACTTTTTTTATTTGTTTGCTTGTTAGACCTTTTCATATTTCATTTTCTAACAGAGTCCTTGCAGGGCAGAGATTAGCTTGTATGGGATTTCTAATGAAGTGATATGCTAGAATGCTCATCTCTATTTTCTCAGGAACCTAGTTCTGAGGGCTAAAGCACTTAGCACTTGGAGGAGAAGGATGTAACAGGGTCCAGTGACTGGAAACTGAACTGAACAAATGCCACTTAGAAGTAAGGCCTGTTTTGCAAGATAAGAATGATTAACTTCTGGGACAAGGGACTTGTAACCTCTTCATCTTTACTTTCTGTCTTCAGATCAGACTGGGATGCCTTTCTGAGTGTCATTCTTTAGTTGTGTGTGTATTAATTTTGTTATAGTGTCAGTGATATACTATATGGATGCTGGTCAGTGATGTGTGCTTGGTGGGGAGTGAGCTTAGATGCAGGCTTCTGGTCTCTGGTGCTGTGACTGTACAGCCATGCCTAATTCTCTCCCTCTGTTGCACCTGAATTTCAGACTGGATCCTTCAGCCTTCGTGCTGAATTTACTTCCCCCTGCCCCACCACTGCTTGTCTATAGGAATTTATGGGCTAGATATGTTTCTCTGTTATGTTCTTCAACCTCTAACTGACTTTGGTTTTCTTGTGGGGTTGGCTATTTTACATATGATGTTGCTTGGCATCTTTCTCCTTTCTTAATGCCAACTTGGGTGTGCAGCAGCAGTAAAAGGGGATGAGGCTCTGGGGAGACACTGCTTTCTGTGTAGTATCCCACTAGTTCTGAGCAGTTCCTGCCAGCCTGCTGTGGCATGTAGAAAGACTGCTTCTTTCTGAAAACTGCTATGGTGCAAAGCTCAGACGTAGTTGTGTAGGGGCAATGTCTGCCTGTCTTCAAGAGCACAAAGGCTGAATCTCTGTGGCTCTTTGTGGCCTGCTTTCTGCATTGCTGCTGTTCTTTCTGATCCAGTCCAGGGCTATCATCAGCGTTGTTGTATTGCTTTCTCTCAGAGCAGGTACATGCAGGCACTGTGCTAAGTTGCATTGTCCTTTGAAAAAGATAGTTTGGAGGAGGTTTAACACAGGACTAATGTAGCTCTCCTGTAGCGTGTACAAAGTGTAAAAATTGATCTGATTTAAATGGGTTTTCATTTGTTTTCTTTCCAGCTCCCCGGGGAAAGCGAGGCTGGAAAACCTTTTATGCTGTGCTGAAGGGAACGGTCCTGTACTTGCAGAAGGTAGGGGAAACCACTGTCTTTTGAAAACTAATTAAAGAGGGATAAAGCAGCACACATCTTCTCTACTCTCTCAGTGTACCTCCAGGCTCCTTTTCCTCGGATGCACAGCATGGCTGATCTCCCTACCCCCACCTATTAACACACACATTCAGGCATGAATCCTCTTGTTGACACCCTCTCCCTTTTCACAATTTCAAGTTCAGTTCCACTGCCTGCATCCACATGTGCACCCTGTAAGTTCCAATGTATGCCACTGCTGCCTCACACATCTGAAAAAACAGCTAGCTTCACCAGCAAAGACAGTGTCATCTCTCAGTGTCGTGCATGCGTCCTCTAGGCTGCTTTTAACTTTGCATTTCATATGTATGACTTCCCCTTCTGTAAGGTTGTCCTCCTTTCCCACCTTTTCATGGCACACTTTTCTGCAGTGCCTGCAAGACCAGCTGCAAAACAATTGAATAACAGCTTGGCTTTGGTAGGAATCTGCAGCTTCTGTTCCTTTGCGAAATTGAAGGATAAAAGGATACTTTTTTTTCTACAAAGCAAGAAAGGGCTGGTTTCTAACAAAATGTGCTTCCTGACAGCAAGGTGTCTAAAAAGATAGTCAGATGAAACCCTTCAAGCTTTTTGTTGCAAGCTTAACTATATTATAGTACATTTTTAACTACACTGTTAGAACATAAAATGCAACATATGAGTGAGAACTGTCAAAATCAAATAAATGGCAGCAGCTAAGTAGATTGTTAAGGCGTTTTGCCCTCCAATTTAGATGAAATGTTCATGGAATAGATACTGCTTGTCCAGACTGCCCTATATTGCAGAAGTATGCTTCTTTGAAAGCTGTTTTACATTTTCACTCAAAACCAGATACTTTTGTAACTATCAGGAGTGTGAGTACATACTGCTGTTTCGTCCTCCCCCACTGTGGCTTTCTGAAGTTGTTGGTTTCACTGGAGCCAACCTGAATAGTCTCTTGAGAAGAAAGAGTGATTTGAATCAGATTATTATAGCCTGAGGTTTACAAGGTGAATGCTTGGGGTGCAGTACCTTTTTGACGGGGCTGAAATCCTGAAACAGACAAAACAATCTGCAGTCAGGATAGAAGATTTAGGCTGTAAGTTGGCTGTCATATGCTCAGAGCCAGTGCAAGAGACTAAAACTAAGTCAGCTGAATCCAAAGTCCTTTTGCTGGGAACACGTTCATGTATTACTAAAATGCCTTCATGGCAGGCTTGTACTTGCCCTTTTCTGACCAAAATGGATTCATCTGCTTCAGTTCCTGAAATAAATAATCTTTAATGTTCACCTGAAAAAACTGCATGGTTCTGTGAGAAATAAGAAGACTTCTTTTTTGAAATACAATATTTAATTCCTTATTTGATATTCAAGGGAAAGAATTGAGTATACTGTCTATTTTAGCACCTTAATTACATATTTTTATGACTATTGCTGGCATATTAGTTGAAAATGCTTTCTGTTTAGTAAAATGTAGAGATGCTGATGTAGCATGCAAATTTTCTACAGAATGCTGCCCTTCCCCCTGTTACCCTCCATGTTTTCAGGAGCAGGGAGTAATTTCACATATGACTGCATTTCATGAGAACGAAATGCATTGTTGGAATTCCTGTTCTTATTTGTTTGTTAGTTGTGTATTTTGCTCTTCTCAGAGCACTTGAAGTCAGTAGTTACTGGGCACTACTCTGCAGAGCTGCCTTCTCCTATTTGCATGGGAGCCATCCGTTGCGTGGAAGGCATCTTACTGTAGCACACTGCCAAGTAAGGCTTTTGCCTTGGTGCTGTGAAAGGTTGACAGAAGGTTATGATGGGAGGTAACTCTTTCCAAGAGTGATGGGGCAGCTGTGAGCCTCTCCACAGTGCCTCTGGCCCCTGCTCAGCCACATGCTGCAGCTGTGAAAAAGCCTGTGATTTCACCACCAGGGCTTTCCTTCAGCACTCAAATAAACTTTACTCTGTTAGAGATGTAGTATCATAGAAGGTGAAGATGCCAGAGTTAAAAAATACACAGCTAGACCAAGTAGTTATAGTAAAGATTGCTGAGCTGCTGTTTCCTTCTGTAGGGACTGAAATTATTCTAATTTTAGGGAGTACTGAAGCATTTTAGAAAAGTTTGATTTCTTTGCAGAAGTTCATAGTTCTGGAAATAGTCCTGGCAATAGTCTGGGTCAAAGGATTGCCTTGTCTCAGTTCACCTCAGTTCTCTCCTGATTATAGAGAATGTGAAGCTGATATGGTGCAGTAGGGCGGAGTGCATTCACAAGCACATCCTCTTTTTCTCATTCCCTGTATACCTGTGGAGATGACATCTGTGATGGTGGTTTCATTGCACTATTCAAGCAGGATAGAGAGAAATCTCGCTGTACAAGTGCTGTGTACACACAAACACATGTACAAAACTCTGCAGTATTGCGTTCTGTGTTCATCTGTAACTCAGCTGTTCCCTCAAGACACTATTGTAATATAAATATTAATTTTTCATAGCAGCTGTGAGTCCCCCAGTGGGCAGTGTGATCCCAATTCTGCCGTCTCTCTGTTTGCACTACTGTTCTCCTTGTTTTGCTGTCAAAGGCAATGTATGAGAGTGTTTTGTAAATGGTGGTCACTTGAGATTTACTGAGGATTCTTCTGGACAGCCTTGTCTCCCTGCCCACCTTTTTTCCCCCTTTGGAATTTTACCAGTGCTAATTCCTGTGGTGCATATTGTTTTGTTCTTAAATAAGTGATTTAGGAGAAGCGGTTTCTGAATTAATGAGCACAGAGAGCACTGGAGGTGCTCAGTGGAAATGTTCACAATTAGCCAACTAAACATGCCTGTGCAGTATTATATAAAATAAGAAGTTTGACATGTTTGGGACATTGGCTATGTCTCTGGGCATCCTCAGGCCAAGGTTAATTTCCTGCCCTCTGTTCATAGCAAGAGGAAATTGCAAAGTAGCAGCTTGACAGAATGTCTGTTCACTAGACTGACATGGGATGTGATGTGCATATACAAGAGAAGCTTATAAGGAGAGGACATAAGGCTGACCTCGCTTCCTTGCTAGAAATTGCTTCTGGGCAAAAAATGCATGACACGAACCTTCGTGTTTTGTTTGGACTCTTCTGTAAGGTTTGCAACATCTTTGCTGTTTGATGTGGCACTTTATAATTTTGCAGGCTTTGGGTCTTTTTATATAAATTTTCTCAAATTTCCTCTGTTAAAAATTAAAAAAAAAATTTAGAAAAGCCAGACTCAGGTAAAGTGTTTGGTGGTGAGACTTTCTGAAAGAGAATCTTGCAGCTGCATGGAGATATCCATCCATGGTGCAGTGACTGATAAGAAAAGACAAATGTCATTCTCCGGTTTACCAGAAATGTATTTAGAAATATGCTGACTCTGGGTCATCAAGATGTGGGAAAGTCATTCTCTAGGAGTTTGAGAAGGATGAATTCAGCATGCCATTGCATTGTACGCAGCACTCACATCAGCCTTCAGCTGACAGACAGATCACAGTTTCTTTCTGGCTCCATATATATTTCTTGCCACTATCTAGGTCTAACTTTAGAGAGCTGCCTTCCATTTCAGCTCAACCTGAACGCTGACACCAGCACATCATAGCACATGCTGTCCTTGACGGCTTAGGCAAAAATGGATGTTCCTACTCCGCTAGCATTCCCTACCAGTCAAAAAGAGTTGAAGGCCTTGGAGAAGGAATTTTGGCAGCACATTCATGTCCTTACAGCTTTCTCTGAGGCTGGCAAACTATGTGGAGACATTTCCGGTATGCTGATCAGTGCCTTTGGAGAAGCTGGCAGAGCCCCAGCTGTCAAGGTAGATTGCAGCCAACTGATCTGGTGGGATTAGCAAGGATTACCACGAATACTTTCTGTTGGAAAGGAGGGTTTATCAGCCAGGACTGCTTCTGGGGCTGCCCAAATGTGGACTTCTTCTGAAATGGATTTAGTCACCAGAGCAAGTTGTAGACATTGGATGCAGCTCACAGAGGAAGCTAGAAGACAACAAGCTAATTGATAGCTGACACTGTCTCTAGGCAGTAGTAAAAGGTAAAATAGAATATCGTATGTCTGAGGCCTCTGTAAGTTCATTTCCTGGCTCTGAGGTTTTCCCAGTCTTCCTGGACAGTGGAGCCAGTCATTTCCCCCAAAACTACCACCAAATAAATCAGCTTGTGAGCCCTTACAGGAAGGGGCTTGACCTGAGGTCTTGCCTCCTCCATCTTCAAGGCAGCGTTTGCCAAACTTCCTTGAAAAAGGTTTAAAGAAATGCCCTAAGTGGGCATAGGCAAAATCCTTCAAGACTGACAGATGCCTTCAAATCTTGCTGAGTCTCAAATTATGAGAGATGGAGGACATTTGACTTTGCTCACTGCCAGCCCTTGTAAACCCCTTATATCACAGATATTTAGGTTTGCGTCTGCCCTTTGGTCACTTGTGCATAATGCTCTGCCTTTCTGCTGGGCCTGCCAGACTTATGGTGGTGCCCTTGCCTAGCTCCAGACAGAGGTGGTGGTGTGGCAGGACTGGTGGATAGCTGCTCTTCTCAGGTTAAGTGTCTGAGCAGCAGTGTGGGAAGTTGTGGGCCTGCACCAGCAGGACCTCCATCAGAAAGGATGAGACATGACAGAGGAGCAAGATGTTTTCTCCCATCTTCTAAGAGGTGGTCACCACAGCTGGTGACTTCCTACCCTGGAGAGCCTCAACCGGGAGAGCCCCAGCCCAGCCTGGCTGAAAGCTCAGATGCCTTTGGCAGTGGCATAGATTCCTCTGGCTGCAGTCCTGTTTGGTGTGCTGCCAGAGAAGTTCTGTAAATGAATTCATGCACATTAACCAGCTCTTCTCTCAGGCGGGTGTCTCCCTGGCTGTGGAAGCTAGTACTATCCCTGCACATACTCTACATCCTGCACTGTGTTTCCTGCTAAACCTTATCTCATAAATTGTGTTCAAGTGCAGGATCAATAGTTACCATGCCTGCAGGGAGTTATTTCACTGCTTTGCAGCTGTCACACTTGGTGCATATTCCAGGTGAAACTGATTTCTGTGATACACTAAGAGGGAGAAATGGAGTCAATTACAGACTGCTTTGGCTGGCTCTGCAGAAAAAAAGTGATGCAGCCTTGCTGAAAAATCATTTCTCTTTCAAAAAGCTCCTGGCTTTCCCAAGCCATTTACAGTCATGTGGGCTTTGGATAGAACCTATGGCTACGTTATGTCCTTGTCCAGCTTCTGTCACTCAGAAGATCAAAGACTGCTTCCAGGCTGCTGCTTGCAAAACAAGAGTCCCTGTTTTTGTCATCTGGTGTTAGGAATGGTACCGTTACTGTGTCAGAAACCCAGATAGAGCTGTGCTTGCCATTTGTAGACCCTCATCAGAGAGAGGTAAGGGAGTTTGCTGTAATTTTCTTTGTGGACTTGGTGAGGAGGCTTCCGTAGTGTGTGAGGACTTGCCTAGGAGCACCTACGAAGGTAATTGGTTGAGAAAAATTGAAAGCAGGCAGTAGAGGCTGAGAACCTAAATAGCTGAGCAGTGGAGTTGGGGAGCTGATTATGAGGGATTGTTGAATTGAAGACAAATAATCCACAGCTGTTGTCATAGTCAAATACTTCCTGCTTACATCTCTTCCTGTCAAACAGACAGTAGAACTACTTCTCTCCTTTGGAAAGACATCAAAACAGAGAAAAAAAGAAAAAAGAGAGAGAAAGGAACACATGTTAAAGGTAGTGGAAACCACAAGTCAGGTTGCACCTAGTTCATATACTCTATTACTATTTCTGAACTCTAGAATAAGGTTTTTTCCTTAGGCTAGGGAAGAAGGATTAGTACATGCAGAAATTAAATGCCATAAATTTTCCCCCTGCTATCTTCTGCAGGATGAATATAAGCCAGAAAAGGCTTTGTCGGAGGAAGATCTGAAGAATGCGGTTAGTGTGCACCATGCGCTGGCATCCAAGGCAACAGACTATGAGAAGAAACCAAATGTCCTCAAGCTTAAAACAGCAGATTGGAGAGTCCTGCTTTTCCAAGCCCAGTAAGTGCTCTCCTCATGCCACTCATTGAGGAAAGAAAGCAGTGCTGAAGGAGGAATAAATTTTTGCCTGGACAGGTTAAAACAGAGGCTTAAGAGGTTCAATCTGTTTATTTGATCAGAAATAAGATTAAGTAGTGATGTGATTAGAGTGCACAAATAGTGCATGAGAAAGAAACATCAGGTTTTAAGAGGCTTTTTAATCTAGCTGAGAGAGGCATAACAAGATGCAGGAGCTAGAAGCTGAAGCTCCAGGAAATTCAATTTGGAAGCAAGTTAACAGTCAGGATGATTAATCATTGAAGCAAATGACCAAAGGCAGTCTTGGATTGTCTGTCTCCTGATGTCATCAAGTCCTAGCCAGATGTCTTTCTAGAAGATATGCTGTGGTTAGAAACAAAGTTACTAGTTAATACAAGGATGATTTGATAACGTTTTTCATGTTGTGATATCCAGACATAACAGATGACCTGCCTATTGCTTCTGAGCCCTTTTCTACTGAGATCCATATTAAACCTCCTAGAGATCTGTGGTTACCAGCACAACCAAGACCTTAGGACATATGTCTGAATGAGGGCATTAGTTGGCTCTGTCAGCTGTATTACTGGGATTGGATTAGGGAAAGATGTGTGCTAGGGTGAGGTATGGACCTAAGCACAAGCCAGCCTGTGACTGAGTTACTTAGCACTAACTGCTTGCAGACATAGGCAGGAAGACAGAGGAGACTCTTAAGACTTGTTCAGTTTTGGCTGTTCTGACTTTTAAAATACCATAGAAGGGATGGAAAGAGGAAGACAATGCTGAGTCAGCAAGTGCTTAATATGTGTTGCTTCCTCAGGAGCCAAGAAGAAATGCAGACCTGGATCAACAAGATTAACTGTGTGGCTGCTGTCTTCTCTGCACCACCATTTCCAGCGGCCATTGGTTCTCAGAAGAAGTTCAGTCGCCCACTCCTGCCAGCCACCACAACAAAGCTATCTCAGGTGAGACGTTTTTATATAGTGGGTAGGTGGTAATGATTTCTCTTTCTGTCCAGACACTGGATGGTGGTCTTTGTCACCGTTTTGTAGCTGTTGCTGCTAGCAGTCCTAGGAGGAGAAGGCTTGCATAGTAAATCTCTGCTCATTTCCTCGTGCAAGATTTGAACTGGGAGGAGAAAAGGAACAGACTCAAATACAATTGATTTATGTTTTTGAAGAAAATAGTACCAGATAAAGAATTTTCTTCTTGTGCTTATGGCCCTGCAGAGTACATTTCAGATACTGATTGATGGAGTTATTTTGGATTTGAGTGTTTATGAAGGCCACTTATTTCAGAAGAAGTGGACATACTCCTGGTCTTTGGCTTTTTGAATTGATAAAAGGTGAAAGCTGATGCATCAAACAAGCATCAATTATATTTCTCCCACTAGATTTTCCAGGCTCCGTTTATTAGCTCAGAGATTTCCGTATAATATATATTTATAAACTGTGTCTTAAATGAATCTCTTCAGTCTCCCTTGTGATCACACAAGCTTAGCATCCCGTGGCAAGGAGTTTCACAGCTCTGCTGGTTCTTGCACAATTACACGTATATCTGCTTGTCTCAGGCTGTGTCAGATGCTTGTGCGCATAGCTTTCTGGGAGATGCAATGCCTGCCTGGAATTCATCCTGCATTGGCAAGAACATGATACTGATTGTGTTGATCAGATTGACAGAGTGACAGAGGTTATACTTCATGACATCTTCCTATAGCTTTTAAAGTGATGTGCCCATGCTGGATTGCTTCTTAAATGCATTTGTTGGGGTTTTTTTTTATTGTCTTCATAGCTTAGCAACCACTGTCTCAAAACCTGTGTTTCTGTAAGGATATGGGGTTTTTTATGTTGCCTGTGCTTTATCTCTCTCCATGACAGCAGCCTTTCTTCTTACATTGTGGTGACTGACTTACCGTTTTTTGTTCTGGGTTAAAGTTTAAATCATGTTATGTAAAAAAATTATAAACTGGTCTCATCCTTTTGGTTTTAGTTTTTGGTCATGCATACCTTTTAAAAATACAGTATGGTGCTTCCATAATTTACCCCCAGTCACCAAGGGAAGCTTTTTTACTCGTTCTGTATGATTGTTCCATTTAGCATGTTGTTTCCTAGTCTCATTGTTTCCATTTAATCTGGAAAGGGAAAAGATAGATCACGACCCTGTGGTTTGTATCCTGAAGAAGCAGAGACATGAAAAGTGGAATAAGATAAGCTGTTTTAGATAGGGAGAAGAATGTTAAGTGTTCAAAATAGATAAATTCAAAGGCAAGCAGAAACATGTCTGCTTTCATCTGTCAGTGTGGAAAAGCTGCCAGCAGGCTGTTTCTCATGAAAAAAAACCCCACAAATTGTCAGATCCCTGTGGTGGATGTTTGGGATTTTATTGAATGAGTCATGATGGACACTACTTCTTCAAAGGGTCTGTTCCTCGTCAGCCAGAAGTCAAGATGCAGTGAGGGCTTAGCATGGGTAAGGAAAAGAGGCTGGACATGATAACAGGTTGTGCAAGATCATTGTACCAGATTTTCTTTCAAAAGCAGAACAGTGTATGATCTTGGTTAGTCCAACCAAGGAGGTGTGTGACAAAACTATATATAAAGGAACAACCAATCTAGAAAAGACCTACTAGGGTGTTAGGCTTTTTCTTTTTTTCTGAGAATGCACCGCACACACAAAAGCTCCAGAGATGGTGCCCTGGAAATGACAGGTGCTGTATTAATAGCTGCTCAAAGACCTCCTGTCATCAGGCTGTAGAACTCACTACCATAGGATGTCCCTGGGACCAGGGAATCAGCACAATGTAAAGAGTGATTGGGCCCTAATGAGAGAGCATGCACATTTAGAGTAGTAACTAACAGCAACAAGTATTTTTTGGCAATCAGTAGCAAGTGGTTTCAGCCCTACCATGTTTAGGCAGAGGTAAATTATCCCACATATTTCTCTCTTCAGTTCTCCTCCAAAAGAATTGAAACACAAGATTAGCTGGGTCTTAGCTATCATCATCTATAGAAGTTTTCCCCTTTCTGCTGTTTTCCACAGCTCCAGCAAGCCAAGAGGCTCAGTCCACAGTGTGACTCAGTGCAGTGCAGGCATATCTGAGCTAGATTTGAAGCTGTGGGCTTCATCTGAGCTGTGGGCTGTGCTCAGAACCATACCACAGAGGGACAACACTGGCAGCTGCAGCTGTTGCCTCCTCTGAGGTGAGGTGCCTACACAGGAGCTGACCTGGGTACTACCTCTTGGCTAATTCACCAATATCTGCATGATCATGTGTCTATTTTGGACTTACCTAATTCAAACATAATTTCAGATCCAAGCCTAGAAATGGACAGAAGGCCATCCTGCAGGAGATGAAAACCTTCTGAGATGAGGGAAGGTTAGCTGACAGATGGACTGGAGGAAGTGAGTGGGCCTGGGTTTATGATAAAGGAAATTGCCTAGAAAGTGGGAGTAGCAGCTCCTCACTTTCTCCAACTGCACAGTGGGATAAAAACCGGTAGCAGCTTAGCAAAATGAGATACTTTTTGGGGACTGGACAGCCCTTCCTCTTCTGAATGCATTGTATTGTTCTAAACAAATAGAAACGACACACTAGAGAGCTTTTGGCAGTGCAGAAATAGAAGGAGGGGCCCTGACTGTGTCTTTTCTGTCCTGGAGGGAACTCCTTTAACAATCAATAACCTGAGGCAGAGTCTTCACCTGTCTCGTTTTGCCCTTAGTTCGTCTGCATACACAACAGTCTTAATTAATTTACAAAAAAATGTGTTAGAGCAAAAGTGTCATGTTGTCAGTATTGCTCGGCAGCAAGCTGCTTCCATTGCTCACAGCAAGGCAATGGATGACAGGTTTGCTCTCTTTCCCAGTGGCATCTGCTAGCTGCTGAGTTTTTCTGCAAGCTTGGCCACTTTGAGTGCCTTTGAGAGAGCTGTTGGTGGCAGTGCTTTGGGATGACAGACTTTATCAATCTAAGAAAAAGAAACTGTGAGGTATTATTGTACAGGAACCTCTCTATTTTTCTTTGCTTATTGGATATTTTGGATTCTGTCACCTAAGTGCCTAATATGTTTCTGAAGGATGAACAGCTGAAGTCCCATGAAGCTAAGCTGAAGCAGATCTCCACTGAGCTTGCTGAACATCGCTCCTATCCTCCTGACAAGAAGCTCAAAGGCAAGGAAGTAGATGATTACAAACTGAAGGACCACTATCTGGAGTTTGAGGTATATATGGAAAACATTATTACTTTTACTTCTTGGGTGTGGATGGTCTTGTATTTGGAGTACAGTCCTGAAGTTCTTCATTTTTCACTTTACTTCCCTAGGAAGTGTGTTCTTGCTAGGCAGAAAAGTCATCTGCAATTGCAGATGCTGGGATGTGGCTCTTCTTTCTGGTGAGAATGTCCTTAGTGATTTAGCTCCCAGCCTGTAACATGGAGGATAGAAACAAGACTCCTGTCCTTCCTCATGTACCTGTTTGAAGAAATTTTAAGATCTTAATGCATTAAGTGTCTTGTGTTGTAAAACTGTGTTGCCTAGTGTATTGGAACCTCAGTCTCTAAAGAATGACTGCGTTGTGCAGGAATGCAGATCATGGTAATTGTCTTCCATTGGTAAGTTCTGAAGGAACTGATATGCTGAAGTTACTGTCATAGGCTTGCCTCCCTCCTCAGAGCCATTGTGTTGTATACCACTTATATGGATGTCAGGATGAGAAGGAAAATGGTAGACTTAAAGATCACAGATTGAATGATACAACTTAGGCAGATGCATAAGAAGATTGTTTTGAGTATCTGACAGCAGCTTTTATCCGTAATGGTGTCTGCCACATTTTAGGACTATGTGGGAATGAATTGGCAACCCAGCGGATGTCTGCCATTTGTTATGACTACACCTTTGAGCTTTTTCCCCCAGGACTACGAGTCAATGTTGCCTTGGGTCTGAAAGGATCCTACTCTAAATAGGCAGTGCTTGGCAAGGAAAATACATAGTCTGACAAAGAGGAAGAGCAGATAAGACAGATGAGACCACTAGAGCTGATGCTGGAGGCAACACAGCACAAGCCTCTAGAACTGAAGTAAGCCTTCTGCCCTGTGCAATCAGTTTCTGTTAGAGGGACTCTTTTTACTCCCAAACTTAAATCACTGCATGCTTTTGCTTTTGCAGAAGGTTAAGCACTGTGTAGCCACTGTGTTGAGTTTCACTTTGCTGTAGCAGTGTCCATCAGCATGGCTTTATGAAGGAGGAATCGTAACTTGACCAACATTACAGTCTTTTTTGATGTGATGTTTGGTGTGATGGACAAGGGGAGAGCAGTGGATATTGTTTGTTCTTCACTTTGACAAGAATTCTGACATTGTCACCTCTAACAACCTTGTAGTCAAGCTGGTGAAGTGGATTATGAAGTTGACAGTGAACGATTGAGATCAAAGAGTTGTGATCCATGGCACAGTGTCAGTTAGTTTTGAAGAGAGCACTCAGATGTACAGAGTAAGCCTCACACTTTCTCTCTGGAGGGCATCTTGTAAAACTTGGAAGATAAAGCATTTTCTTAGCTTTGCGTTCTTGACACAAAGTTTATTTTGCTGTCACTTTTAGAAGCTTGGTGAGTTAGGATGAAATGTGGGCTGGAGTGTTAAACGTTTATAGAAAGATTGATGAGGGAGTAGATTGTTGTGGGGTTTCTCTCTGTTTCCTGTGAATTTTATCAGGGATAAAATTTATATCCTTTATCTTTTGAGGATATTCCTCAGGTACCTCAGTACAAATCAGAACCACTATAGCCCAGGAAACAAAAGGTGTCCTCTTCACTAGTGAGAGTCTCAAACAGCATTTGAGCTGTGCAGTTCAGGTAAGTGATCAGCTCTGCACAAGTGCTCATCCAAGCAGGCAAGTTGTGGCAACAGCTTCAGTTGTGTGGGAGAAATGGTAATTCAAGGTGCTGATTTGCTGTGCTAAGTTACCTTCACACTAAGCACAGATTTCACTGGCCATGTTGAACTATCAAGACACCATTCCAAGGGTCATGAGAGCAGGCAATTCCAAAATGTTGGAAATCAAACAAATGAGGCAGAAGGCTAACTTGGGATCTTCTTCTGGAGCTAAGTCAAAAAAGTAAGGTTTATGCTGAGTGGAAGCAAGGTCATGTGGCATGGGAACAATTCAGTGAGAGATGCTGCTCACCATTGTAACAAAAAAATTCACGTGGCCAAATCTCAATTGGAGTTGCATCTGGCCAGAACTATGGGGAATAAAAAGAGTGTTTTAAAAAGAGTATCAATAAAAACAGTGTTTTAAAATATATTAATGGCAAAAGGCAGTGTAGAAATAACATCAACGTCTTACAGGATCAGGATCGTCATCTCACAAACAGGGACATGGACAAGGCAGAGTGTTTAATGCAGTCTTTGCCTCTGTCTTCAATATGGATGGCAGACCACGGGGATCTCCACCTCCCTGAGATGGAGGACCATGACTTTGAGACTGCTCCCATTTAAACTTGAAGTTGTGTAGGATCAGCTTTTTAGGCTGGATCCCTGCAAATATATGGGGCCTAATGAAATTCATCCAGGATACCTCCAACAGTTTTCTGATGTCATCACAAAACTTGTCTCGATGATATTTGAACAGTCTGGAGAGATCCCAGTTGGCTGGAAACTGTCCCAGTTTTCAAGAAGGGCAAAAAGGATGACACTGGGAACCAGAAACCACAGGTCTGTCAATCTCATTTCAGTGCCTGGTAAATTTACAGAGAAAATGGTTCTGGGAAGTACTGGAAAACATCTGGAGGACACTGGAACCATCATCACAGCCAGCACAGCTTCATGAGAGGAAAGTCAGGCTTGTCCAACCTGGTTTTCTTTTATGACAGGATAACCCACTTACTTGATCAACAGAAGCCAGTTAATGCAATCTTTTTTTTTATTTCATAAAGCTTTTGATACTGTCTCCCTCAGGACCCTTCTGGAGAAAATGTCCAGCCCACAGCTGGATAAACACATCATGTGGTGGGTGAGCAGCTGGCTCATGGTCAGGCACAAAGGGCTGCAGTGAATGGGGTGACATCAGACTGGTGTGACCTGTCACTGGTGGGGTTCCACAGGGCTCCATCCTTAGTCCTGTGCTTTTCAACATCTTCATAAATGACTTGGACACAGGACTGGAGGGGATACTAAGCAAGTGTGCAGATGATACAGAACTGGGAGAAGGTGCTGACTCCCTTGAAGGCTAGGAGGCCCTACAGAGAGACCTTGACCAATTATGGGACTGGGCAATCACCACCTGTATGAAGTTCAACAAGGGAAAGTGCTGGATTCTGCATCTCAGATGGACAACCCTGGGTGTATGGAGCACCTGGGAATGAGAAAATGGAGAGCAGTGCCATGGAAAGGGACCTGGGGTCGTGGTCAAGGGCAAGTTGAACATGAGTGAGCAGTGCCCCGGCAGCCAGGAGGGCCAACTCTGTCCTGGACTGCATCAGGCTCAGCATCAGCAGCCAGGCAAGAGTGGCACTCTGCTCTGCACTGGAGCAGCCTCACCTTGAGTGCTGGCGCCAGTTTTGGGTCCTCAGTATAAGGAAGATATGAAGCCTCAAAGCTGCCAGAGGAGGGCAGTAAAGATTATGAAGGCCTTAAGGGGAAGTCATGATGAGTAGCTGAGGTCTCTCGGTTTGTTCAGCCTGGAGGAGAGGGAGGAGCTGAGGGGAGACTTCATTGCAGTCAACAACTTTCTTGTGAGGGGAAGAGGAGGGACAGGCACTGATATGTCTGTGACGATGTTTGGGAATGACCTGCAGCTATGTCAGGGAAGGTTTAGGCTGGACATTGGAGAGAAGTTCTTCTTCACCCAGAGGCTGGTTGGGCACTGGAACTGGCTCCCCAGGGCAATGATCACAGCACCAGCCTGACAGAGTTCAAGAATCATTTGGACAATGCTCTCAGGTACATGGTGTGATTCTTGTGGATGGTCCTGAGCAGGCCTAGGAATTGGACTAGATTATCCCTGTGGACCCCTTCCAACTCAGTCAACTCTGTTATTCCGTGAGGCAGTAAAAATCCCAAACCAAACCTAAATGTTGAGCTGTATGAAAATTGTGAATGGAAACTTTGTGAATGGAAAGCTTCCCTTTAGAACAATGTCATATCAGGGTTGGCAGGAGTGGTGAAAGAGCTTGCTGTATGAAATTAAATGCAAAGGGCAAGGGGCAGGAGAGGTAGGATTTTGTAACTGTCTCTTTCAGGCTGAGACAGCAGGCTAAACCTAGTGTCTGTGTACACGTGGCTATGCTGATACATCTTGGGAAACACACCAAAATGTCCTGTGAGTCCCTAAGGTAGCAGCATAGTACCATTTGGAAGGAAGATGTCAATTTCCTTTTCTATAGGTCCTTACAATTTCTTTTTGTTCACACACTGGTGATGCCTTCATTCTTGTTCCTAGCAAAAGACATGTGAGATGGAGGGGAGGTGAAGCATGAGGTAACTGGTCCTTGTTCAGGTATGCAGCCAGTAGCATTTGTTTTTGATGGTGTCTTTACTTACACCCAGCATGGAAGGAACAGCTTTCATTGCCTGTTCTCTGAGGAAGTACTGCATAAGATTGAAAAAAATTAGTTGCTTATTGCAGAAAATTTATAGTTAGAGAAGTACCTTTTGAGTGCTGTCAGATGAGAGGTGAAGCCAGAATACCGATGTGCGGCTACTTCATACTTCATTGTTATGTGCATTCATTCTTCAGAGATAATGTTGCAGAAGCTTTTGAATGGTTTCGACTTCTGTGGTTTTATTTCTTGACAGAAATTGCCAAATTGATTTCTTTTAAAGCAAAATTTCCAGTAGCGTTTATCTAACTTCAAATGTCAGGTCACTGAAAGACCAACTTTGTTGTGGTTGAAATCAAAGTAGAAGTGTGTTGATTAATTGTAATAGAAATCAAGGGCCCACAAAGTCCAGGGGAAAATGGCCTTTTGCACACCTGCAGGTCCTGAATTTCCATTCTGATTGCCGAGTCTTGAGACTTTGGTGATGTTTACTGGACCTGTAAAAGCATAAATCCATACAAGTAAAGCCCCCCTCTCAATTTCATTATATTATGCGGTTCCCAAGCTAAGAGCACTGGCTGGCCTTTTGCAGAAGCGTCTGGTTCATTTTGTGGTGAATCATCCATCAGCTCAGTGCATCATCGTCAGAGTTCTTGCTGTTTCTCCATTTCCATTTTTATTAAATGACACATCTTACCTGCTTCATGTGTTTGTCTCTCACGTTGTGGAGCTCCATTTCCAGATATGGAAGTCATAGGAATGCTTATTTATTTAATTTGTAGGAGGATTCTGTTATGATTCTCCTCTGTGAGGATTTGTTTATTCAAAGGATTCTCATAAGCCAGTCACATTCTCTTCTTTTTTTCCCCCTTTATATTCCATACTTCAAAGCTTTTTGACTTCCTGCCCTTAAATAAATGTTTTTACCAGAACTTTATTATTTTGTTAGAAAATGTAAAATATTTTCTTAAATACTTTTTTCCTCTGTCAGGAACATAATAGCTTGGCTGCTGTTTTGCCACTTTCAAATACAAGTTAACAATCATTACAGATATTTACATCCACCTTCCCTGACTCCCAGCACACTGAGATCGCTGTAATTACAATGCCTGCACCATGTCTTTAAGTGGATATATCAGGGGCAAGTTACTAAATAAATCCTATGAATGCTCTCAGGACCTCCTGCCCCAACATCTGTTTCTGAGACCTTTCAGGGGTCTTCTATTACCATACCCTCATTTTCTTCCTTACTGAATTGTTTCATGGAAAATGGTGCAATCGGAGCAAACAGAATGAAACCTTCCTGTTGGAGAGGGAAAACTCTGGTCCAGATGAGGGATAGAACAAATGGGCATGGGGCACAGTAAAGTGAACTTTTTCCAGTTGAAAAATAGAAATGTCTGGACAGATAGCAACCTTCATCATTCCCTGTGAGTGACATAGCAGGGAAACATGCCTTGCTGCTGTCATAGCTTTCTCATCTGCTCCTTTTTGTTAAGGTCTGGCCTTTTAGAAGATTTTCCCACATGCCTAGTGGTGGCCGTGATGGTACAGTCTGAAGTTAGACCCTGCTTTGGTTTCTCCCCCATGGATAAGAAGAGCAGGCCCTGCTGGTGGGAGTGGACGATTGCAGCAGAGCAGGATTTTTGTTGTCCTTAGTTTAGTGCACTTTATCTCCGTGCATGCCTGAGCACATAGGATCTCAGAATGTGTGAGCACAGCTTTGGTCTCAGCATGACTAAAGTAGCAAGCTTTCATTTGATGGTGTTACTTGGAATGGGAGCCAACACTCATTGGAGCATCAGGATTTGTGTGCTGCAGAACTGAGTGCCTCTAATTACACAGGCCTCAGTCTGCCTGAAATCCTCTTTGTTTAATTTATGTTAACCACTGTTGTCCATATCCACATTAGGCACCATTGTTTGCACACATGCTGAGCTCCTGGCTTTCAAGGCCAGCAGAAAGCATTAAGTTACTGAGGTGGTCTCTCATGTGCCCCTGCAGAATTTCTTTGAGACTAATTTGGGCCTTTCTTTTCATTTTCCAGAAAAATCGCTATGAGATTTACGTTGGCCTGCTGAAAGAAGGGGTGAAGGAGCTGCTGAGTGGAGGAGAGAACGATGCGCCAGGACTGAAGAAATCCCACTCAAGTCCTTCTTTGAATCAGGAGTCTCCAGTTAGTGCCAAGGTGAAACGCAATGTCTCAGAGAGGAAGGACTACAGGCCAGAAACACCCAGCATTAAGCAGAAGGTCACTTAGGGTGGAAATGACAACTAGGGGAACAGCCATGCAGCAAAGTATTGGTGGTCAAAATTTTTTCATTTAATAACCTGTCATTCACAAAAAATAAGTGCATCTGCCTGAATGGGGTGTTAGTGACATTTTCTATTGTATATTTTGCTGTTTCTGTGCAGATTGTGGGAGATGTCTTTGCTCCTGCTTTGCTTTGCTTTGTTAATTTATCATTTAGCAATTGAAGCATCGGGACTTTTTTGTGTTATTCTGTTTCTAAAGGAGCTGGGGAAGGGGTAGAGAGCTGTGACGTTTATTCTGTCTCCTCCCCATTTATCTCCTCCCATCGGCATGTGGCTTTCATCTCTCAAGTCACTTGTCACTTTATTTACGTGGTGGGTGGGAAAAATAACTGGACAAGCGCTGCAGTGCTATGAATGTGAGCTGTAGCTGTGAGAAAAGCTGTGCAAACATGCAGCTGCAGAAGGCTGACTATAGGGTAGGGTGCTGGGAGCACTAGTTTCCTGACAATGTAAGGCATGTTGGTACTGGTACTGAGCAGCAGGTGGTACAGTAAATAGTCACTGTTGCTTATTGTTACTGCATTGACCCGGGACACTTTGCGTGTGTGAAGGAATGAACCTGGAAACCTCTGGCAATGCTGAGATGATGGCATTGGAATAATTTGTTTGCTTCCTCCCAGGCAGGGAGCTTTCTCCTGAGTTTGCAGCCTGGAAGGCATCCAAACCATGCTGTCTCTGCAGTCAGGAAGATTAGGGATTACCCAGTTGGAATGGCTATCTGGGCTTCACATTTATTTGCAGAGAAGGCTGCTGTAGATGTCAGCCATTAGCATTATATATTAATTATATATATTAAAGACAAAGGGCCTCTGTGTAGTTTTTAACTATACGCTCTCACTTAGCTGCTATATAGAGCCTTATGATATATTGTGTCCTGTCGCTTCCCCTTCCGGGGGTTTCCTTGTTGGTGTGCAAAGAGAGCTGCTTTCAATTCCTCTCATAGTGACAAAGCACTTTGCCTTTTTTCTTCAGAACGGGATTCTCCTCAGTTCTCCATTTTCCTTCTTTAGCTCACATATAGGTGGAAGAGGCTGGTGCCTCCCCACTGTTCCTGCTTACCCTGTGCCAGATTTTCCAAGGGGAGCACAGATCTGGGAGAGACCACCATGGGTAGGTCTTTCCATACCTGAAAGGTACACTCTATGCCCTGTTTGTGCCATAGACCCTTGGGGTGGCCAGCAGTTTTTCAGGCACAGAGAGGAGAAAGATGACATAGAAATAATTTTCCTACTTCCCAGCCCCTCTTGTCTGGGCAGTGTCATGGATCTGCAGAGAGTGCTGGCTCTCCTGTTACCCAGCTTGTTACCTGAGTTTTAATCTCAGTTTTTATACTGGCCCACAAGGTGAGCTTGGACAGGTCTCTCCCATTTTATGTCATCCTTTCCCTATATGAAGTAGTACTACCAAACTGGCCTTTCCCACAGAGCCCCTTGGAAGATAATGTTGAGGGCCAGTTGAAAACTGCTCCTTGCTCTTTGTTCTGTTGTGCCTGGCACAGGACAGCCTTCTTGTTGAATGCAATTCTTGATGCATATAGAAATGTCAAGATCAATGCAAGGACTGTTTAGAAATGCACTGGTGTTTTCAGCCCAAGTAGTCAAAGGGCCATACATCAAAAAAATTGCTATCTGAGTGGATGTGTGTTCTGTCTGGCTTCCCAAGGGTCCAAGTCAATTCATCTAGTTTTATTGAGCTGCCAGTCCAGTGGGCAGAACTAAGAGTGATCAAAGAGAAAACGCCCTTAACAGCCACTGCATGACTTGCCTTCCCTACTGAGTACCACCATGCAACAGCTTTTGTGGTGTTGTGCTGTCTGCTGGCTCTAACAGTGATGTTGCATTCTCAGATGTGAGGTTTTGGGGCAAATTGATCCTTGCAGCTGCAGGCTGGTAGTGAAGCCAGATGAGACTGTTCTGATGAGTGATGTTGAGATGCGCATCCATCTGGCATCTGCCACAGTTGAGGAATGCGGAATACTCCTCTGGGAAGAAAACTTGACCTCCCTTTTATGATTGAGGAGTGGTATTTAGTGTTCCCACTGAGACTCTCCAAACTACATGGCCCTTGCTCACTCCCTCCTTCTCCTCCCCATCCCTGTAGTGGGCTGGAGAGGAGAATTGGAAGCATAAAGGGCAAAGACCACAGGTTGAGATAACAAAATTTACTGGAAATGGGAATGAGTTAAGAAAATGAATAGTAAACAACAGCAGTATTAATAACACAGTGCTCAAGAATACTCACCACGCAGAACCCAACAATACCCAACCATTTGCTTCCCAATACTCCAACCCAGGAGGGACATCTTCTCCTGTTCCTGGAAAATGACATGAAGTGTTATAGAATAACCTTCAAGTCCAAGCCATGATCCTGCCGGACTACTGCATAAATTAACCCTGTCCTGGCCAGAACCAGTACATCATTCTGTGAATTATTTTATATTACAATAGGATACATGCAGCAGAAACAAAACCCCAAAAAAGGTGCAGATCTATAAATGGCCCTGCTTGGCGGTCAGGGTTGGGTTGAGTAGATGGTCGTTTTGAAGGCAGGCTAGAACATGCTTGGCAAACCTCTTGTATTTATGGAGTGCAGTGCTTCAAAAGGCAAAGAGATGACATTTAACTTTCTTCTTCCCTGGCTTTAAACATATTTTGGTTGCTGAAAATTCCAGTTAAATTGCTGAACTCAAGAAGAAATTACTCCTGTTAAATGCATTTTCCAGCTTTGACACAGAAACTGGGTAATTCCTCTTCAAAGTCATTGCAGAAAAGATGATTTGAAGCAATAGGAAAAATCAAAAAGTGAACTGCAAAAAGGATGTTTTTTTCATTATTTATTATCTATTTCTGTGTATACTTGTAAACAGATAGAGTATTTTTTTTAGGTCTCATCTGAATGTATCAAATGCAGATTTTCATTTTTGCATTTTTTAGTCATTAAACATTTGTTGAGCTTAGAGCAGTCTTGCTGAGACTGTTGAGGCGTGCAGATCAGTTTACCCAGAATTTATAGTTTCTGCTCCAGTTTTAATTAATGCAATTTTCCTTTGTTGCTTTACAATGTATAAGCATGCCCGGCACCTGTGTAGAAATGCACACTTTGGAGAACAAGAAAAAAATGTGATCCTGTTGCAAAAGTCTAAGACTCCTGCCCTTCCTTGGAAATAGGTTCATCTACCAATCAGTATTGTAATTAGTTTTTTCCCCTCCTCATCATACTATATAGGATAGGGCAGGTTCTCCGGTGGTCTAAGTGGTGCATCTCCTTGAGTAGCACCATTAAGAATCTGACCAGGGAGGTTTGCATGGTACCCTGCACCCTGCCTTTCTTTGCAGAAATGTTTCCCTCTAGGGAAGATCAGTGCTTGACTGCAGCGACTCAGGAGCTCTGGTTGCAGTATGTAAGAATATTCTGCTGGTTTCCAGCCCGCCTCTGGGACATGAGCTACAAATCACTGGAGCAGCCTGCAGTTTCCTGGGTGTACTCAGTGTAAGGCGCTACTGGCTGGCTGCCATGAGCATGTGTGGATGTGGGAGAGCCTTTGCATTGGTGACGCAGGGAGGTGCCATCCTTCCTTGTCACCCTTCCTGCTCCAGTGTGCTATCATTGCTCAGGCGAGGCCTCTGCCTGCATGTAGAGAGTGGGGATGCAAAGAGAGGGAGCAGGCTAAGGCTAACACCTCCTTACTTCCCCTTAAGGTGCAGATACTGGTTCTGAGGGGACTCACCTGGCTCTGAAGCGTTGCTGGCTCCAGGGGCTGAACTGTTTGCTAACCCCAACTAAGGGAGGAGAGACAGGAAAGGACCCCATTAGTCTGCACCTGACAGCAGAGGGCTGATGGAGAAGGGGAAAACTGCCTTCCCGTCTCCCCACCCAGCAACCAAAGTGGATGAAATACTCTCCTGAAGCCAAAACCATAGTCTCCTCTATGATTCAGCAGGATGCAGGGGACTGTTTGAGATGGATTTTTTTTCATCAGCGGCTGCAAAAGGGACTCCCTGGACTAGTTGTGTGTTTGTCTGCATCTTGCAGATAAATTACGCATGAACCAGTGAACATGACTACAGCTTCTAAATCCAGTATTTATGTTGTGTCTTCAGTTGATGTAGAGAGGTAAGTCAGCCAGCAGAGTGATTAATGCAGCAGAGCTGGGCGGGAATGCTGTTCAGATGTGTTGCCAGCTCAGTTTTTCATCTGTAGCCAGTCACTTGTAAATGGTTACCAGAAACTTTCTAATGATTAGTAACAGCTCCTCACTAAACTACTTCCCCTCTGATCCTGCCTGCTCCCAGGTTGCAGTCTGTCTGTGTTAAGGGGCTCTCATGGACAGCTGTGCCCTGCACAGCCCTGCTTTGTGGAGGAGTTTGGCCCAACAGACCTCCAGGGACTGTTCAGTGACTTTTCACAGCTCCAATGCCTTCGGATAACAAGGCTGGTTGCTTTTCTGGCTTGAAAAAGCCAAAACTTTTGCCTTTCTCCAGTGGGTAAATGAGGTTCTTACTTGACTGGAGTAGGCCATTCAGTGAAGATGTGGCTATGGCAGTGGAAGAAGTCAGAGATGACAGGGTTATCATCAGGCTTCTTGGAGGCATTGTATGGCATTGTTCTCCTTGAAAGCGGGAAAGGCTTTTCTCTGCAGATGGCTTACTGCTTACTGTGTCTGCATTCTCCAGTTTTAAATTAATTTTGGTCTTATTACAGTTAGTCTGACAGCTCCTCCTCCTTTTTTGACAAGCTGCTCTTGTCTGTCATCTTAGCACCTCAGCTGCTTCTGTATAACAGGTCTGTTTCCTTCCATGCTTGCAGAAATCCAGAAAATTTGACTCTCCCATCTTGCATTGAGAAAACCTGCTCTGAAGCAGTGCTGCATTGAGTGGATAACCCTGTGAACAGCTTTTTCACTCTGCTTGTTGGTAGCCTGTGTTTCCAGCCACAGTTATAGCTGGGAGGTGCGAGACCGAGTTTTAGACTGCTGTGATCCTCTAGTTCTATGCTGCAGGGATGCAAAGTCGCCCTTCCCACACTTAGACCAGACACTTGCAACATTCTTACTCTTCTAGTATCCAGGTTGTTGGAAACACTGGCTGCTTCTACAGGGTCATAGACGGTATGTTCGTATAATGCCGAGAAATCTTAAGTCCACATTTCTTGTCAGAGCACAATCATTGCTCCCCAGCATGTGTTCTCAGCATCTGGTATCTAGGCTTCCTAGAGGGATGAACCATAGAAGCTGTCTCAGAAAAAGCTAGTCTGCAGCTTGTGCTTTTTAAAGGATATTTTTAGTGCATATAGAAGCAGTATGTCTGGCCTCTCCTGTCCTGTCTCCCAAAGCTCTCCCAGCAGCATAGATATAGCATAGTGGGTTGCTTCACTTGGAGCTTCACTGTGGAGACCTGAGCTCCAGGAAGAAGAGGCTTTGTCAGCCTTCAGAGAAATGCTACCACCTGAGCTGAGCATCAGTGCACAGCACAGTGATGCTGTGTGAAGAAGCCAGTGCCACCCTCCGTGGCTGGTCACCTGCTGGAGACTGTGAGGTCCAACATTGCCCTCAGTGTTGGAGGTAATGAGAAATGCTGGCTTCCTTTTTCTTCTAGTCTGTGCTGCTTGAGGAACTGTCTTTACCACCTGCTGCTTTTCTCCCTTGTGAGAGCAGCACCCCTATCCAGGGCTACCACAGTTCCTTTGTGAGAAGACTGGTTAACATGAGAGCAAGGAGGAGAGGTCTTTGGAAAAAGTCTGAATGCCATCTGGGAGTATCTACTCTGCTGATGGCAGCATAGAGTTGAACATTGAAAGGCCTAGCCTTGCCTGAGAGAATGTCCCTTACTCAAATATTTTGTTAGCTGAATTAAGGTTGTGTTTTAGTTATTTATTAGAGCTCATCCCTTACCAAATGCAAGCAAGAACTTTCACAAAGGTTAGACCATTGACCTGACTTTGCCCTTGTGGTCTGAAGGAGCAAATTTAGACTAGTCCAATGTGTTCTTTCTTGCCTGCCTTTGAGCGCTTAATTATTCTGTAAAAATTATAGATGTTTAATCAATGAGGGACCTCCCATGGCATATGCTGTTAAAGCTGGAGTGCAGGCCAGAGGTTTATTTGGACCAACAAAGGTACATCACTTAGCAATGCAAGCATTGAAAGTGCAACAAGCCACAAGGGCAGGATTTTTCTCTGACAGAAACCACTGTAATTCGTAGCCACTCTGGCAGTCATCCTGTCTGTAACTCACAGATGAGACTAGCACAAGAAGACAATTTTTGTTTACACAGGCAAAGTTTCAGCTTGGGCCAATTGATATCATGGTGTAGTGACAGAGCAGCTAGCTAAGCTGCCATGAAGACCTGTTTAACACAAAATCTCCAACTCCCCTTAGCCTCTTGGTGGAAGAGGGAGATAAATGCTATCAAGTCTGTGTCACCACGCAGCGCAAACTCTACTGGTAATATAAGTCTTAACTCACACACTTACGAAATTCTCATACTCAGAGCTGTCAGATTCTGAAAGACTGTAGGATGAGAACAGGGGTGGGTTGTGGTTGGGTTTTTTTTTTAAATTTGTACATATTCATGACAACTGTGTCCTTTTACTTGAGTCTAGAATTATAATTTGGCTAAAAGGACAGAGTTTTTTTGGCTGTTGAAAAACTTTTAAATCACTCCTCTGTGTGAGGTACACTCTGAGACTTACATTACTTGGTGAACATGTTTAATTGATGCCTATAAATGTGTGTATTTCCTAAGTATAGTATGGCTTCTATGGCTCAGCACTGCAGAACCTGCTGTTCTTTTCTGGGACTTGTTTGGTCAAAGC